CGGGCCTTTGATCCCTGCTGCACTGAGCCCACACCACTTGTGACCTCTGCCAGTGTACAAAGATGACGGGGCTCGGGTAGTTTGGGGGGGGGGAAGCCCAGGAAAATGGTGGATCCCAATAGCACCGGGGGGTGGGGGTGGGGGGAAGCTTAGTAGCTGCTGGAAAAGTAGAGATTAACTAGGCCTAAGAGAACTCACCCCAAATTCACACAGTGCCCGGGATGGGTGTTGGTCTCACATCATTTTTGTTCCCACTTGAGAAGGCTTCTTTTCCCTAGAGAATGCTGCTTCTCCGGGCTCAGGCAAGCCCAGGTACCAGTGAGGCTAGAGCGCAGCCTGGCTGGCTTGCCCTGACATTGCAGTGGCGCCAGCTGCAGATCCTTCTGTGTGTGACACCTTGGGAGTGGTAATAGTCGCCCTATGACAAAGTTACGTGTGAGTATTAGTGGGTGGAGACAGTTCTGGGATCGGGCTCTGGAATGGAGAGAACCCAATCTGGGCCTCCCCCGTTCCTCCTCTCCCCCAATCAAACTGCAGGAATAGTGAAGGGCTCATGGGTGAAGGGCCCAGAAAAGAATATTTTTCTTCAAAGTCAGCGCGTAGTGGCCAAAGAAACTATAGGGGGAAATCAGCAATTTGCTGTCTTCCAGCTTTTACCGTTGTGATCGGAAACCTGGAACTTGCCTTCGGGATCTTAAGAGATGTTCAGTGAGCGTGCATATGGGTCTCTTAACAGTGCTGAATGCTCAGGGCCAAGACCTAAGTGGTTTCACTTCTCATTTATTGTCCAATGTAACTGGCCAGGGGCTTTGCTCATTGTAAATTATTAAGATTCCTAAGATACTGAGGCTCACTTTTTTCTTTTCTTATTGGCTGCCTGGAACTTGCCATGTAGGCCAGGCTGGCCTTGAACTCCCATTTGACCCACATGTTTGAGAGTGCTGGAATTAAAGATATGTGCCACCATGTCCAACCAAGCCTTACCATACAAAGACCCTACCACGTCACCATGAAGTTTGACACACACACACACACACACACACACACACACACACCTTACCAACAATGTGAAATAAGCATGAAGAACTGTTCATGAATTCTGCAATGCCCTTCCCCAACTGGATGCATGTTGACTTCTACCTCAGTTCACTGGTCAAAGCAAATCATAAAGCCACACTCAATTTCATGGGCAAGATAATGTGGAAAATGAGGGGAAACAGAAATAATTTAAGGAAAAGGTTAGGAATTTGAATCTTGAATCGATAACTAGTTGGAATCTGTCTAGTTAGCAGTTATACCCATTTCTACTTGTTTAGTTCAGTGAACTTCCATGTGAAACTCTTGATGGGAAAAATAACAAGACTGGTTGTCAGGAAACCTAGATTCTGGTTCGGATGCTTGGGCGAGTAAGATCTGTCTGAGCTCTGCCTGGTCCGCATAGCCATGGTATCCTGTTTATCCTTTGTCTTACTGAAGCAGAAGGCTGAAATAGAGTCACACCAGGGAAAGTACTTTCAAATTGTGAGGCTCTCGGGTCAAAAATCGTCTAAGAAAGCAGATAACGGTGTAAAGGAGTGAAGTAGATGTGTGAGTCGACCAGACTCGGGTACACACTGTCAGTGTAAATGGGTGTGTGTACTCAACTCCAGCTACTGCGCTTGTGGCTGTGGACCTGGTACGGCCACGGTTTCCAGTCAGAAGTTCTGACTTTATGTGTAAAGTATTCTGATTTTAAAATAGTAACAATGAAATACTTTTTAATTCAAGGGTCAGATTCTGCCTGTAGTTCTGTAGATTTAAATGTCAGTTTCTTAAAAAAAAAAAAAAAATTCTTTTAAAATAATGTCAGTTTCTGTGTTATGCAAATAATATTGCAAGAATTTGGTTTGAATCCCAGCACTCGGGAGGCAGAGGCAGGAGGATCACTATGAGTTTGAACCCAACCTGGCCTCCAGAGCTAGTTCTAGGGCAGCCAAGGCTACACGGGGAAACCCCGTCTTGAAAAACCAAAAGCCAACAACAAAAAGAATTCTGGTTTGGGGTGTAACCAACAACAAGAAGAATTCTGGTTTGGGGTGTAGTGTGGTCTGTGTAGCTCTGGTGGAATGGAATGCAAGTGTGTTGGAGGGGTTAAACCTGAAGTTACCCTCTAGAGCACTGCTTTTCAGGACAGGGTCATTTTGCCTGCTGGGAGCATTTTGCATATTTGAAGAGATTTTTGAGGGTGGGGGTGGTAAGGGAATGTGGAGAGGCAGGTACGTTAGCATATAAGTCAGGAGATGACTGCTCCGGCTCCTCCTCTGGCCGCTACCTTTGGCCTGCTGCCAGCCCAAACTGAGTCTTCTGTATGTCTCAGGACCCCCCCTCCACATCCTCACTGGCTGGCCAGGGTGCCCGGCTGCTCTAGAACAGCATTCTGCATTGCTACCGCACTCCTAGTGACCACTCGGTCCGCACCAATCTGGCAGCCTCTATAGAGGTCACCCATTTTATCTGAATCAGAACTTAACAAAAAGAGATTGTGACAAGGCTCCTGCTGACGTCAGTTTTTAAAGGTCATGACCCCGCCGCCGCCGCCGCCGCCCCATTCTCTGAGCTTTACCCACTGAAGAGACAGGTCGTGTTGGGTGGCTTTGTGCGCATCGTAAGCCTATGAGAGCTGGGGTATGGGGGAACCCATTCTGATGGATGTGACTCTAATTTTCTTTGAAATTCGGTCGTGGATTCTGACTTTGAATACACTGAATACAACTGATGATATTTCCCAAGTGAATTCTTTTCCGTTTCTCGACCTGTTTTTTGGCTCGGGTTTTAAGGCTCAGGTTGAGTCCTCTGCTGCCATCTCGTGGCCTCTTGTTGGTTGCCTGGGTTGCAAAAGTGTCTTCCTTCTAGAAATGGCGCTGGAAAGTAGCTTAGTTGGGCAAGGAATTTCCCCTCCACTTTGTGAAGCCTCACCAGACCTCCCCACCCCCACCCCACCCCCACCGGGCAGCGGGGGAAACCTGGCCTCCACAGGGAGCCGTACAAGAGGCAGGAGACCTGGCCATCCGCACCCCATTGGGCCTCCGGTCTACTATACATTCCGGGCCAGGAGCCACCAGATCGGTAAACTCAGATGCCCAGCAGCAGTGGAAGGTGGACCTGCCGGTTTGGCCTAATTAATGCGCCTAGACCTGGGATTCTCCTCACCACAGTGAGAGCACCCCCGTGTGGTGTCTGGTGCCATTTTCTTGTCTAGGCCTGCTTATTGTTGCTCTATACCCATGTCCTTTATCTGGGTTGGCCCATCTACTTCAGAGTCGACATTGTGGTCCCATAGTGCCAGTTAATGCCAACGGATCTGCAAACTAGCGATTGAGGTCTATTACCAGGGGGCCGGGAGACTGCCCTGAGCTGGACTGCAGGACAATTATGCAATGCATCAGTTTCGGAGAGAAAGTGGGGAAGCATGTCCAGTTGTGCTATTTCTGTTTTCATCACGACAGTATCCATATAGCATCTAAAACACCAGCATTCATAAAATACCAGTTGCTGGGGCTGGAGCCAGGATTCGGTGATTTAGAGTGCTCATGGCAGTTGCCAGCACACATGTGGTGGTGGCTCACAGCTGCCTGTAACTTTGGTGTCAGGGGATCTGCAGGCACTCCATGCACATGGTACATACATACTCAGTCAGGCCCAGACACAGACACATAAATATATGAAATGCTTAGGGGTTGGGGATTTAGCTCAATGGTAGAACGCTTGCCTAGCAAGCACAAAGCCCTGGGTTCGATTCTCAGCTCCAAAAAGGAAAAGAAAAACTTAAAAAAAAAAAAAAAAAAAGTTACTAACACAAATTCAGCTTAGAACTGTCTCCCGTCGGCTCCTCTTTCTGTCCACCCCTCATAATTCCCAACCTCAGCCTTCTACTTAAAGAAGAGCTAAGTGTGGCAGCGGGGGGCCTGAAATCCCAGCACTCAGGAGCCTCACATAGGAAGAACTGAAGTTCAAACCCAGGCTGGGCTATATAAACAGAAGGTGGTTGTGCTCGGATGTCTGTTTTAACCTGCTTGCTCCTTATAATTGAGAGGAAAGGGCCTGCTGGTGTAATTTCCCAGCCCCACCCCCACGCAAGGAGTGAGTGGCCGTAACTGGAGATAATTTATACGAATCATTTGTTTGTTGTCTCACTATCTAACAATACAGGGGCTGAAAGGTGGTGGCCCACGCCTTTCATCCCAGCACTGGAGAGGCAGAGGCAGGCAGATCTCTGAGTTTGGATCTCTGATTTAGAGGCTAGCCTGGTCTATGAAGAGAGTTCCAGGACAGCCAGAACTATACAGAGAAACTCGGTCTCCAAACAAAACAACACTTAGAAGATAATGCACATTAAAAATAACATCTCTATTAGATGGGTGTCATCTACTGGTCTTTTGTTTCCCTCTTTCCCTATTCCACCCCCACCTTATCTCTGTACATCCTTAATAACGTTTCTCTGTTGATTCTTATCCCAAGGTATAATTTGCCGTGCGGCTTCCTAATTATGCACACACACACCCTTTGTGTACAGTGTAATGTGCCCTCCTCTAAGCTTGTGTAAGAAGACTAAAGATAGTGGCATAAGAGAAACAAGATTTTTGCCTTTATAAATCTCAAATTATAATGAAGAGAAATTGCCCTCCATAAACCTGAGATGTGAAGCTACCACCAATGGTGGCTCACTAAAGAGAGGCTAGTTTTCAATTAAAAAAAAAAAAAAAAGTAGGAGACGGAGCCAATTTCCAAAGAGTGGCTTGCTTTGAAACTGGGCTCATAACACATGGCTGTCCTGGGTTTGCACGATGCACTTTCTCCGGCACTGATAGGTTGTTCAAGCCAATAGTCACCATCACCAGCTGAGTCAGATGTTCATTCATTTCTCTTTCAACACTCAAGCTCTCTTGGTTTCTCAGTAGTGTTTAAGTTTTGTTTTTTAAGTTTTTAAGAAAGGGTATCATTGCCCAGGCTGGCCCAGAACTCACTCTGAAGACCAAGCTATCCTCAAACTCACAGTGATCCTCCTGTCTCTATCTCCTGAGTGCTGGAATTACAGGTGTGCACCATCATAGTTAGTTGGTCTTTTTTTTTTTTCTTCCAAAGATGCCTACTTTGTTATTCCTGGCTGGCCTGGAACTGTCTATATAGACCAAACTGGCCTCAGACTCACAGATATCCATTTGTCTAGGCCTCAGGTCCTCTCCAAGAGCAGCAAGCACTCTTAACCTCTGAGCCCCTGTTATTTTATATATATATATATATATATATATATATATATATATATATATATATATATATTTGTTTTATGCTTATGACTATTTTGCCTATGTGTATATGTATGTGTACCATGTATGTGCATGGTGTCTGAGGAGATCAGAAGAAGGATTCAGATACCCTGGAACTGGAATCATGGATGGTTGTGAACTGCTATGTGGATAACTGTGAACTGCTATGTGGATAATTATGAACTGCTGTGTGGATGCTGAGAACTGAAGCCAGGTCCTCTGCAAGAGCAGCAAGTGCTCTTAACTGCTGAGTCATCTCTCCGCGTTGGTAATTTTTATTTTTATTTTTTTAAAGATGTATTTCTTTATTATGTACACAGTGTTCTACCTGCACGCCAGAAGAGGGCACCAGATCACATTACAGATGGTTGTGAGCCATTATGTGGTTGCTGGGAATTGAACTCGGGACTTCTGAAGAGCAGCCAGGGGTCTTAACCTCTGAGCCTTCTCTCCAGCCCGGTTCGGTATTTTTTAGTTGATGCACCCAGACTCTCCCATCTGCATGACTGGCCCTGGGCAAAGTTGTAAAAGTAGGCGGCTGGCGCTCCTACACACTTTCTCACTTTGACGTGGCTGTATTGGGATCATCTGGGTTTTTGTTGTGGAAGGCTGCTCTGTGCTGGCCCTCGTCACTGACCTCTACCTACTTGGCCTCCCACTACTATGACAACGAAAAATGTTTTCAAACTTCGCTAATTAGTGCCCAAAGAAGCAAAACCACTCCACCCTGCCTTGAAATGTAATTTCCTATGGGGTTGGGGATATAGCTCAGTGGTAGAGCGCTTGCCTAGCAAGCACAAGGTCCTGGGTTCGGTCTTCAGCTCCAAGGGGGGAAAAATGTAATGTCCTAGAAGGCCATAAGAAAGACGTTGACATTCTCAAGATTCTTGTGTTTAAAGAGACTACCAGAGACCTACAAGAAGGAACAGCGCAGTCAGGTGTCTGCATTTCTCCTCTTCCTTTTGCTGATGTTCCTCCTTTGCCTCTTTCAAGTTGTTGTTTGTTTTTAATTTAAGGTTTTGTTTCTGTTTTTGGAGACAGGGTTTCTCTGTATAGCCCTGGCTATCCTGGAACTCGCTCTGTAGACCAGGCTGGCCTCGAACTCACAGAGATCCACCTGCCTCTGCTTCCCAAGTGCTGGGATTAAAGGCATGTGCCACCACTGTCTGGCTAATTTAAAATTTTTAATTTGTTTTTATGTGTATGAGTGTTTTGCCTGCATGTTAGAAAGTGCACCACGTGACTGAAATGCCCATAGAGACCAAAAGAGGGCTTTAGATACCCTGGAACTGGAGTTACAGACAGTAGTGAGCTGCCATGTAGGTGATGGGAACTGAAGAACAGCTAGTTTTCTTAACTACTCTCCAGGTCCCCATCCCCCTACCCCACCACACCACACCACACCTCAAGATTTATTTTATATGTATAGGTGGTTTGTTTTTCTGCCCACACATGTGTATCTTCGCTGCATGCCAGCCTGTGTCCTCAGAAGCTGGAAGAGGGCCCTGTTCTCCTGTTACTGTAGTTATAGACCATTGTGAGCCTTCGCGTGGGTGCTGGGAATCAAACCCAGGTCTTGGACAAGAGCAGCAAGTGCTCTTAACTACTGAGCCATCTCTCCAGTCCCTCCAGAGTTTTCTGCCCTGAGTTGCAACTTAGTCATCACACTGCTCGATGGTACACACGTTGCCTTCATTTCCAACAGCCAAGCTCGACACCGCGACATTCCCTCTTGCTCTTGAAGCAGTCCTTTTCTCTCCAGCAGCGTTACAAATTCTGAAGCCATTACTGTGCTGGTACGATTGCTCTCCCCGATGCGTCTTTCACGTCACCAAGTAAGTGTGGCCACGTTTAAAAGCTCTTCAGACCTCTCTGTCATCCTAAAGATCAAGTCCAGAGCTTTAAATTGGGGCCCTTACCTTTGCCATCCGGTTCCCACACAGCTCCCTTTCCTTGAATGTCAGTCACAGTTTGAAGAAGGTAGCATTGATGTAGAACCTTAAATCATTTTCAATTTATTTGGGGAGCTGGAGAGATTGCTCAGTGGTACCCAGCATGTAATTCTCTTACAGAAGACCCATGTTCTGTTCCCAGCATCCGCATGGTGGCTCACAACCGCTCGTACGTAACTCCAGCTCCAGGGGATCTGTCAGTCTGCCGCGGTTCCCGCAGGCGCCTGCCCTCACTCATGTACAGACCTACTCACAGACGCACAGATGGACACATGCTTGAGAACTATTTATATACAAGCCAAGTGCCTCTGCCTTCTCCCCACCCCTTTCCCATTAGCCCACGGATGAGGACCACAGCAGTGACTCAGCCGCCGGCTGAGGAGGGGGGTGGGTCAGGACTGTTTGTCGCATAGATTAGAGAGATGTTAAAACAAAACGCTAGTGGGAAGTCAAATCATGTCAAAATAGCTGACTCAGAAATTCTCACTTTGCATATATGTTTACTTCCAAGTCTCACTCAAGCTGTTGTATCCAGGCCCAGCCAGTTAGCAGTTGCTGTTTCTATCCCGCAAGACTCCATCTGCTCGGTCCCCATCCACTCTGGGAAGCTCCCTTGGCCCCTTGTACCACCATGACTATGCTGCTCAGATCCCCTCAGTGTCCCATCTACAGTTCTAAACTTACACTTTATAAAAATTACCCACTATGGACTGAGAGAAAGAACCTGCCTGTTTGTTTTGGGACAGGGGCTTCCCCTGTAGCTCAGGCTGGCCTGAACTGATTATGTTTTACCTTTTATTTTTATTTATTTTTGGTTATGTGAAACAAGGTTTCTCTAGGTAGCCCTGGCTGTCTGGGAACTCACGCTGTAGACCAGGCTGGCCTCAAACTCACAGAGATCCACCCACCTCTGCCTCCCAAATGCTGAGATTAAAGGAATGAGCTACCACCACCTGGCTAAGCATTCAAGGCCACAGGGATGGAGAGACGGTTCAGTGACCAAGAGCACTTGATACTCTTCCAGGGGACCTAGGCTTGATCCCCAGCACCCACAATGCACTGCTGTACTAAGTGTATGCCACCACACCCACTTTATCTCTTATTTCTATTAGTTCTTTGAGAGTTCCACACATGTTTTGATGACATTTGCTTCCCTAACTCTTCCCAGATCCACCCTCTTCACTATCTATGTTCTCTCTCTCTCTCTCTCTCTCTCTCTCTCTCTCTCTCTCTCTCTCTCTCTCTCTCCCTCCCTCCCTCCCGCCCTCCCTCCCTCTCTCCCTCCCCCCCACCTTGGAGGCCAATTTGTACAGGACAGACGTTCTTGGATGTGTGGTCTTCTCCTGGAGAGTGGCCAGCTTACCAGGGACTCTATGCTAGAGAAAACGGTCCCTCCCTCTCCCAGCAGCTAATAATTGCTAATAGCACCATGCCTGGGGTGAGACTGTGTGCCCAGCTATCTTTCTTCATGCTGGGATTTGTTTTACCTTGAGCTTGCACAGGTTTTTGTATATCTGTTGAAACCACTGTTTTGTTTTGGTTTTTTGTTTGTTTGTTTTTCGAGACAGGGTTTCTCTGTGTAGTTTTGGTGCTTTTCCTGGAACTCGCTCTGTAGCCCAGGCTGGCCTCGAACTCACGGAGATCCGCCTGGCTCTGCCTCCCGAGTGCTGGAATTAAAGGCGTGCGCCACCACTGCCCAGCAAAACCACTGTGTTTTATATGTACAGCTGCCCTGCTGCATTGAGAAGAGAATGTTTCCTTGTAGTTAGACACCAACTCTGGCTTTTACACTTTCTGTCCTTTCTCCTGCAATGACCTCTGAGCCTTGGAAGGAGGGAGTGAGGTGTATATATTCCATTTAGGGCTGAGGATTCTCCAGTCTCCTGTTGTCTGCACCTTGGCCACTTGTGTGTCTGTGTGAATCACTGTATACTGCAAGTAGAAGCGTCTCGGAAGAGAGATGCATTCATTTATGAGTGCAATGGTAAGTCCGTAGGGGTCGGTTTAATACTTGTCCATTTAGCACTATAATATAGTAGCTCTCCCCTAAGGCCTATGATCTGTGTAGCCATGGGTTCTTGGCCCCGACGGTGGTGCCAGATATGGGTTTCATCTTACGGAATGGGACCTAAATCTGATCAGAAAGTGGACGATCACTCTCCTGACCTTCATGCTGCTAGTACACCAGTGGGCGTGTTTTGCCAAGACCAGCCATTATTGTGTAGGGTTCACATCTGGGTAGGATTGATTGACGATTACTTTTTTCCTCCA